CACAGCCATTGATACTGACACACTTTACATGACAAACACGTTCGTATAGCCAAAACGTAATGAATCGTTTAGATTCGGGGCCCATTTTTGTTGGATACTATATAAAAAACACTCCATATCACAAAGTAAGAAACAAGGAGGAGAACGTCAAAAAAGAAAAAAATAAAAAAGATTGCCACGCACACAAAAACGATCTCTCAAATTAGACGTTAACTTCACACTAGTAAAGACACAGCAAATAAAGAGCAAGTCGAGAGAAATACTATAAACACGCAGTAAAAGAACAAGAAAGAGGCTTATTGAGGAGAGCATGTGTTGATCGGAAAAACCAAAGTGGATATGTCGACGGAAAGTTCAATATAATTCAATTAATTTAAATACTTTTATACTTTTATAATTAATTAGAGGTTAAAAAAGAAATTGCAAAATTTCTTCACATAAAGTAAAACAGTGCGGACACAGCGCGTGCAGAGCTGCCAAATAAATAATATGCAAAATATTATAAAGAAATCTGTTTACACATCGAAACATATATCAGAATATGTTTTTCTAGTTTACGAGTTGCGTAGCACATATTTTTTTGGCGGTTTTACAACGAATATTTGACTTGCAAGAGGAAATAAACTAGCGAGACGTATTGAGAATTCTCAAAACACAAATGAGCTTTGTGTACTTCAATGATCTCAATCAATACTTTCTGAAAAATATCAGCACTAATAATCAAATTTAATTTAGTGTACATCTTTATTATATATTAGGTGCTTGCGTTAATTTTGAGAATTTTTTCACTTGGAAAAAGCATTTATTGAGAAAAATTAGTACAATATATACTAATCAAAATATTTTCCATCAATTTCTACAACATTTTACCATATTTCTACCAACATTGCGACTTCGTGTCGAACGAACTTATATTGGTTTGGCAGCAATCCAATCAAGGACTCATTTTCTCACTTAACGAGAACAGCCGCGCGCTAACTAAGCCATGCTGTGTCGATCTGAGCAAGTAGCGTTCAGAAGGCGCCTTGTCTGGTGAGTACGCTGGGCGTGGCAGAACTTTCTATTCGAGGTGTAACAGTGTATCCTTGACAACTCTTGCAACAAGTGGTCGGATCGTGTCACCACTTTTAAACCGTTGAAACCAAATTCAACAAGTGGGCATGTTGATGGAGCAGCCTCTAAAAGTGTTTGATGGGCTTCGGTAACAAACCTCTTCAAACCAAACAACAAATGTCGTGAATGTCGGAAATGAAATTTTGAGCGTTTCATAATTAGCGTCGGCATACGCTGAATAAATCAATAACACTAAATTGAAGACTATTATTTTAGCCGATAGCCTGTGTTGCTAGTGCTCAATGTCTTTTTTGAGTCTAAGAATTCAATTCATTAGTCTAAAATTAAAATAATAATAATAATAATAATATTTTAGCTAGAGAAAGTTCAATCGCTGTGTACATTGGTATCTCCCATTTCTTTCTCATTTTTCTCTGTAGAAGACGCTTATCAAAATTAATGCACGCACCTATTACATATGTGGCAGCGGAAAAGCAACTACAAGCGATTGATATTAACCGTTCGTTATCTAGATGTAATATTTGTACACGCTCCTTAAATTTAAAGTTTCCCACATAAAAAAAAAAAAAAAAATTGGAATAAAAAATTATGCTGTACTCGAACGCATTCTTTTTTGATACGTACGCACCGATGTACAAAATTATTGCCACAGACTAAACTTGAAAGCAAACCTTCCAAATAGAAAATCGCTAAAAAAATATAAGTGCATAAACAAAAAAAAATTGAAGTGAGAATGTCGACAAAAACGCCACTGTCACTCCTCTTGTTAAAAAAAAACGAAACAGTATAACTTTTCATGCATTCTTCTTTCCAACTATATATTTTTAATCGCTTTCGGAATCTGCAATGGAATATATTTAACACTTTCTTATTAAATTTATTTATTTTGCTTCAGTGAATTTGAAATTCTTTGTTTTCAATTCTCTTTACTTTTAATTACACACCATCGTTGAGCACTAAATTACGAACGAGTTCATAAATGAAGAAAAGATAATTTTATATAACCTATAGATAAAGCTCTTGTTATTAATACATTATAATTGTCTTAAAGCAAATAAAGCAGTTATCTTTTTTAAATCAAATTCATAATTACCTCCCAATCCTGCTGTACGCATTGTTGAACCTGACATTAATAATAAAAAGTTGCCCACCCATCTATGAAATAATACTAAATTAAATCGAATGAATAAATAGACTCCCACGATAACTAGAGAAAAATCAAATAAAGCAGAAACAGGAGTTGGAGCTGCTATAGCAACAGGAAATCAAGAAGAAAAAGGAATTTCAGTACTTTTAGTCATTGCTGCTAATATAACAAAACCTCTACTTAAAATTACGACAAAAACATTTTTCTTTATTTCTAAATAAAAAATATTATTTCATCTTCTTCAATTTAATATTCAAGCAATTCTTAATAATGAAGCAGCATCTCCAATTCGATTAGATAAAGCAGTTAATATACCATCATTAAAAGATTTCACATATTTACAATTAATGGCTCAATTCGCCGTGATTTACTCTGTAAAAGTGAAGAAGGTAATATGAAATGCATATCTTCATAAATTTTTAATATTAACTAATATAATAGGTATATACAGGGAGATGGCTTAAGATGAGTTTTTTTTTTATTATAAAAATATATTAATTTTTTTTCAAACCTAGTTTCATTTAAAACTTCAATTGTGGCGCTGATTTTGTTCCTCATTGTGTACGAATTTGATAGAATATTTTTCAACTGGCGTACAAATTGCTTTCACTATGAATTTGAGTTGATATTTAAACTAGTTCCATAACAAGTTACAATAAAAACTTTATTTAATCAAATCACTTAAATATGGTAATGTGTGCATAGCATACAGATATGCGACAAAGATTCTCTTTTATACATTCCTTAACAACACACAAATACCCGTGCGCACACGCACTCACAAATGCGCAAGTACTGTAGAATAAAAAAAATCATAAGAAAGCCTGACATACACTATAAATAGCTTATATAAGATAAGAAAGAACAGACAATCACATACATTTATACATAAAAGGAAGGAGGCTTAAAAGGAATCTTGTCGGAGCTACATTTATTTATTTGAAAATATATGCGTAGAACAAATTAATATAACTCCATTTCTTCAAACGATTAACAAGATATTTTGGGAAGATTTATTTTCAATTTCCAATTCATTGCAACAGCCCACAACCACTATCTACGACACTTGTCATTAAACGTTTCCCGAAGACTCAGCAACTTCTAGTAAACTTTTCAAAACTCTATCAAAAACAGTAGCATATAATCCGTCTAGGCGAATAGATAAGAACCTTGACTATCGACTTAGCGAATTCAAATCTCAAATACGGTAGAGTTTTCTTTGGTTATAGACATAGTGAGTCCTCAGTCGGCAAAGGCATAACATTTATCGATCTGGTAGACACACACTGGGCCGCGGCCACTATTTGTTTATCTCTTTCTTTTTCCTCAGTTCCTTCCGACCGTCACACAAATAGGTAATGTCCGCTAAGTGATTGGTCATTTTAAAAAAAAAAGTCATATAATATACTGCCGAGCTATTCGTTTTTAGACTTGTTGTAACGGGTCCAGCCGTAATACATTCCGAAAGCTCCTTTTTCAGAGCATTTCATGTATTTCGTTTTTAATTTGTATGACATTTAATTTTCTTGTTTTTAAATCATTGATTTGATTGAAAATTCTTGATCTAAAATTTAATTTTTTTTCTAGCTTTAGACTTGAAAAGTCATGCAATATTCTCTTTTCTTCAACGCTTTTGGGCCTTTAACATAGAAATATTCATTCTTTAATAGTCTAATACAAGGATTCCAAGCGGCAAATGGCCTTTTTGCGAAGCGCAAATTAAAATTTGTTTTATTTTTTAAAGCATGAGGTTTGAATTGAGATTTTATGGTGACTAAAAAAGGGATTGGACCCTCTTCGTGATTACAAAATTGCTTCTGCTTCTTCTTTTCTATAAATAGAAAAATCAACTCATGCTAATATTATATGTAATAGAAAGAAGATGTAAAGTCGTCGAAAAGTAGTCTGATATTTCACTAAAAGGTAATGGAATGCGGATCGAAATTATCTTAATTAATATTTATTTTCCACTGCGTTGATCGTTTTATGTAAAATTCTTTTTAATGAAAATTCGCATGTTTGGGAGTTCATAGAAAAAACAAAGGCTATTATGGTTTGATTTTATTCTATTCATTTTTTCGAAGTTATTTGTTTAATTTATGAATGAATTGATAAAATTAGTGTATTCAACCATTCAGTGGTGGTTATTACGACCAAGCAACAATGAAAATTCAGTGGGAGATACACGAACATAATACAAAGAAGAGAAAACAGCAAATGAGAGAAGCACCATAAATACCTTCATAAATTAATTAAAAGCAAGCTAACAATATGATAACTTATTAATGCTGTTCATTGTTACTCTTTTAAATTTCGATGAATTAAGGTTCTAAGATTTAAGTTTTTTGTAATTAGATTTTAAACATTTAATAATAAAAAAAAATATTCTTGCGAAAAAGAGAAAAAAATATGTAAAAAATTATAAAAAAATTAACCTGAATTTTGAAATGAGTTGGACTTAAAAATATATATTTTCCACTAACGCTAGCAAAAACATAAAAGGACTATAAATAAGAGTATGTATACGCGCCAATAAAAAATAAGTTTTATAAACATATATAAATTATTTTTTGTGGATGGTTAAGCATTTTCAAAGCCTACAGCTGCATTCGCTTTTTTGGCAATTACTCGCTCGTCAATGCTGCCTTTAACTCAGTCTACTATTTAATTACATTTGCCATTTCTTTTCTTCTTTTATTATAAAGAAAGAGAGAGGCAGGAAATTTTTCGTTAAATCAAATTAAAAAAGATATATACTTCGTGTATTATATTAACTTACTGACACATACGCACACACACACACACAGGTGAACTAAATTTTTTTTCTTGAATGGTTGTTATTATACTTTCTTTTGTTTAAGGGTTTGGCAGCACTTTTTTTCGTTTTTTAAAAGACTTTTATATAGAACTATATAAATTTTTTTATATTGCTTTCTTCGCACATTTAATCCTGTTTTTGTTTCTTACTTTACTTGAGAATCATTATATTTTAATTGACTAATTTCAAAACCACTTTTTTCGACAACGACTAAGGCAACAATTGCACATTTATTGTCATTAACGGAACACACTCGTATTTTTCCAGCCAAAATTCTCGCACGACTAATTGAAAAGCAGCACCAGTGTTTCTAAATAAATTTTACCAGGTTTCCCCACATCCCAATTTGTTGACATTTTTATCTTTGCCTTCTCGGATACTTAAAAATCTCCACTTTTTATGTATTTAAATATTTATTAAAGGAATAAAAGTTATATCGCTCAATTAAAAAATGGTTATGATTTAATCTTGCGCAAGAAGTGCTTTTTTACTTATTCCTATAAAAGTGTAGGATTATCAAGGCAGGTAATAATTTTAAAATTCTCCTTTAATTTTTCTTAGTGTTACGTAATGTAGAACATAAGCGTTTTGCAACAAGAAAATGCTGAGAAACAATAACCAGTCAAGAAATCTATTTGATTATTTAAACAAGAGCTTGGCAGCTCTAATTGCTAATTGTGCCAAAAATAAAAAAAAATAAAAGGAAAAACGCCCGTTCTTTTATATTTGCCATATTGTTATTCAAGAAAAATCGTAGAAGAATCAAATAAGTTGAACTACATTTATAAAACAGCGGTGCTGTGGTCATTTACACATTAACTATAAAATTCAAGCAAAATTTGGGATTTTTAAGAAGTAAGCAATTTTCACTGATTACAATTACAATTTCTGTTGCCACCGCGGATTGTTCATAGGTAGTTAATTGTTAACTTTCATTACATTACGTACGCAGAAAACACGTAAAGATATCTTCTTCCGTCCCAGGATTATCGTTTTGCCGCCTATTGTGTAGAAGCGACATGTAAAGTCATCTCAATACTAAAAAGGGTTCGTAGGTCTTGCCCAAAGTTGTATGTATATGAACTGTACTTGGATTTTAGATGTTTTCTTTTTTTTTCTAAATATCTTCTCTGCTTTGGTTACATTATCTAGCTGTACAAAGTTGTAAAAGGTTCGTCCATATGTAGTGCCGGGCAAATTAATATTGAATGCACTTTGTGCAAATACGGCATTTTTTATACTACTTTTCTACTACCTAATATATGGGGTAGAATTATTCGAAAGCTCGAGGTGTGTTTATATTAGATCTTTGGTAGATTTCGTATGCATGTATTTTTTTTGTTGTGGATTGTTTATTTTCATATTTCTTCTTTCTGCTTACTTCCGATCTTTTCTGTAACATGTGAATACATCTTTCAAACAAACTTTTGATTGATATGGCATACTGACATGAGGCAGTGATCCAATAAAAGTCGCTAGTTTGGAAACACTACTATCATCGCCTACTAGGTCATATCTTTATATGAAATGAAAATTGTAGTTTTGTTTATTTTTTTATTGTATATATACAGAGATGGGACTTTTTTGTATTTGAAGTCATTATGTTCTGAAAAATTGGTTATACTTACTTGTCTGCTTTACTTTAGAAAAAGGTACCATACTAAACTTAGGAAAATCTAGATCGTTTTCTCAAATAAAAAGTGGAAATATTCGTTTATCCATATTTATCCAAAATGCATTAAAATATTGTACATCTATTTGGCCATTGCTGACGTACCGGCGAATTAATCGGGTTTAGTCTTGCTCCCAATTTTAAAAGATTGAACAAATTATTCATTCATACATAATATTAATTAGGTTAATTAAGTTTAATTTATTAATGAATAATAATAATTATTTCATTATACGATAATAACCATTATTATAATTAATAATTAATGTGCCAATACGACAACAAAGTCACTTTTGGCACATGTAAAGATGTAAATAACACAACATAATATCGTACAACATAAGACATAAAGCCAAGATTCAGATGTGATCTTAAATTATAACTTATAAAAAGCCTTTATAGTTAATTAAAATCTGCTAGGGTTAAAAATCATTTTTATATGGAGTGGTAGCGAGTTCTACAACTTTACAGCGTATTGTGTAAATATCTTGGTGTTCGGGTCCGTATAAGCTTATGGAGAAAAAGCAGATTTATACTTGCATCGAAAATTGCGATGTCCTACCATATTTCCGCTAATTCAAGACGTGCTTAGCACATTTATTTACAAGACCTTGCAATTTTTTCTTGCAAGCATAATTTAATTTACCGTATATATATGCTCCATACGGTATAAGCACGGCAAAAAATTTAATTAGTCTTAGTTTGGTGAAGATTGGAACATAAGATGAGAACAATAGTTTTCTTTATACGTTACGAATACGCATAACTGTGTAATAACATATTCCTTCCGAAAAATCTTCTGAAAAACCCAGTATCCTCATCGAACATGTTAATGTGTAGCAAAGAACGGGAATCGTAACGTGTAATCGATATTACAGCAGCTTTAGTTTTGCTTGAATTAAAAAACGGTTAGAATCAGACCAGATAATAATACGCTCTACATTATCATATATTCGCTGGACCAGGTCCTGTGCAAGTCCAAGCGGCCGCGAGGGGTAAACGCTACAATCATGACAACGAGGGACTAAGTCATACATAAAGGTGTCATAAATAAGATAGGTCTTGAAATGGATCCTTCTGACACACCAAATGTAATCAACCTAAATTAGGCCTTAGGGAAATTAATCATAACCAGAATGGTTAAATTCCCCTCATCTTAACCGGGACGAATGTCGTCTAGAACTTTGGGCAACACCGTCTTGCAACAATCCAATTTGGCCACTTTTCAGGCGTTCAAAGACTTTCAATATCACCGGATGATCAGTAATCGGGCGAAAGTCTTCGGGAAGGATAGAGAATGTTTTTTTCCCAATGGTAGTTATCATCGTTATTTGTAAAAATCAGCAGATGAGAGAGTTGTTATTATGTGATTAAATGTATGACTCGAGGGAGAACCTGATAAAACTGCTGCCAATATTGTCCGACATGACCGATAGAATTTTATTTAGTTCTATGTTCAGCCAGACATACTTCACCCTCGGTGGAGGCTCTAAATTAAAATGTTTCACCGTGTCAATAAATAACCTCCTGATTCGCAAGCAAGGAACGGTGACTATATATTGAGATTTCAAAAAGTGATATTTGAATGTTTCAAGGTTAACCCTACATTATGATTCCTCCAAAGCATCTTAGGAGGAAGATTGGCATCCAACTTCTTATTAAAGTAAAGCCGTGCCTAGTAGAATTATGAGCTCTAACCTGAAAGCCTCCCAATTAATCGCATTAGGAGAAATTTTCCAAATTTTACAAGCTCCATTGCGAAGTCCAATGGCCCTTTTGATATAACTGCAAAAGCAGGGTGGCTTGAAAGTACTAACTCAACATGTCTTCAATGACGCGTACTTAAATAATAAGGACAGTGACTACATTAAATTGGTCAATTTATCATTAACGTCGGGAACACTCATAATATCCTTTGCCATGTTAATTGACGCAAAAATTCCTGTAGCTAAACGAAATCCGCTTAGGAGTATCATAATTGATATATGCGTAATAAGAACCAAAATATCATGATCAGATATCCCACCAAGAGGTAATTGGTTATAGTGAATGACTAAGGAACAGTCAGAAACTTAAATGAGGCCTGAAAAAATCGGCGTGTGGGCCAGGAGTCCGCCAATTTCAATCCAAGAGTTGCTATCGTCAGAGTTGCATCACTTGCATACAATAGAAATAGATTTTCCGAAGATTTTACCTTCCAGTCAAATAATTCGTTTGATCGTATTTATGAAGGCGGATTTATAGAACTTTTTAATTCAAACTTTTCTGGCTAGACAAAAAGGACAGATACGCGTAGCTTAAACCTAATATGTAAATGTTATATGTAAATATTGAATTAAATATTTACAATTTCAGAATATAATGCCGAACATACGGGACAGCAATAGTTCAGCGCCTGAATTTCCTAGTGAAGGGTGGATAGGAACCTTACTCGTTTTGGCGCTTGGAGGTTTACAACAATTAAAGTTGATTTGCCAGCAACGATACAAATGAATCAGCCTTTGCCGTTACGCCAGGAGCACTTGCTGACGCAGGAAATATTCATTGTGATTGAAATGCCAAAATATAATTCTTTTTCAGGGCACAGACAATTTTTGAGAGCGAAGTAAGCAAAGAAAGTTTCTCACAAATTCTTAAAACATAAATCACAACATTTGTCCGATGTCTTTATTCCCGGCAATGTAGGAAATCGTATAATATACATTTTTTCGGTCTCTTTTTGTATGGGATTTATTTACGCGAATTTGGACTTTAATTAAATGATTTGAGTAATTAAAAAATAATCTTTCGTAGCTGACTTGTATTTTTTTGTGTCACCAACTTGAAGTATATCGTAAAGAAAAATGTGTGCACTGATTTAAACTTTTCCAAATTAGACAAATGATTTCCCATAAAGAAGCATTGCAGACACAATATTTGCTGCTAATGTACACACTGCGAAAATGAATAACATCGGAATTCTTAAAGATATTATCAGAGTAGTAAGGGCTGATTGAAATGATAGTGCAAAAATAATTTAACTCTATAATTCATTCAATCGATTTGAAAAGATGACTCCGCTAAATGAATAACGCCATCAAATATCTATAGTTAACAATCACAGTCCAGCCTTCAAAAAAAGAGGAAAAGGGCTTTGTAAATGTTCAATCTGCATGTGATTTTAAATAGCGTAATATAACAATCCCTTATTTAATCAATTGTTCATTATAATATGTGTTATGTTAAAAATGGAAAGGTTGCCGTTGCTAATTACTTTCTGAATTAAGATTTGTTTCCACCAAATTTGTATTCGCTAATATTAAGAATATTTTAAAGGTGCCAAATTTTCAGAGCTCTTAAGTAATTGGATTAAAGTTACCGTGTACACAACCAACTGTTCGTAAAGGCTACTTCTATAAATTTATATATATATAATATTAGAAATAATATGCTGGAGCATTTCTTTCGCCATTCATTAAATTATGTGTAGATCATAAAGCAGTAAATATTAAAAAATAGCTGCAGTTATGTCCAAAATAGCTCTCTTCAAGGTAGTTCGCATTATTTTGTATTTGGAAAGTATGCATAGACATAGTGCAGCAAAGTCTATATGTAACAAGAAATGAGCTAATAAACGTCGCCTTTTTCTTTTAATTCTCGACGGACGTACGATTAGATTGGGTCGATTTTTATCTATAATTTTTTTATTCTTATCAAAACGAAAAATGGAATCTAAATACATAAAGTGAAGAAGTAATGTTCATGCATATGTGAACAATACATTCAATATACTTGAAATTCATGTGCAATTCTTATTTGAACATGTACGAAAAGAAAATTGGCAGAAATTTTTTTTTAATTTATTTGTAGAATTACGTTTATATGGCGGAAAATAGGAGAGATGTGAATTTTGTTACACGCACATTCGATCGCAGTCCGTCTAAAAGCCAGTATTTGGTAGGGGTTATCGACGACGGCACTTCTACTGTCTCTTTCTCTATATATACTACACCCGACTTTAAGGAAATTGCTTCTCATCAATTGAGTATACCGATGATCTCTCCTAAGCCGGGTTGGTACGAACAAGATGCCATGGCCGTTATCAACAACATGTACCGTTGCATTGAAATAACAATGAGTATGTTGGCGTCTTTGGGATATAAAAAGGAAGACTTGGTTACCATTGGCATCACAAATCAACGGGAAACCACCATTATGTGGGACGCTATTACCGGCAAACCGTTGCACAATGCCATTGTCTGGAATGATATACGCACAAGTTCCACCGTTGATCAGATAGTGGTGCATATACCTGATAAAAATATAAATCATTTTAAGGATAAATGCGGCCTACCAATATCACCATATTTTCCGGCCTTAAAAATACGCTGGCTCATGGAGAATGTGCCCGCTATACAAAGAGCATGTCGAGAAAAACGTTGCAAAGCTGGCACTATTGACAGTTGGATAATTTGGCACTTAACCAAGGGTACGTGGTATCTAGTGTAGAACACAGTAGCGATTTCATTTAAGAACTACGTTCTTTTATCGTTCTAGGTGGACTACACATAACCGACGTAACAAATGCTTCACGTACTCTGCTTATGAATATTTCAACTTTACAGTGGGATCATACGTTACTTAAAGCTTTCTTTATAGAGATTGAAATGCTACCTCAAATACGTAGCTCTTCCGAAATATATGGTATCGTTACCGATGAGCGCACCTCGTTGCTTGGTGTAAAGATAAGCGGAATATTGGGCAATCAGCAAGCGTCATTACTGGGTCAAATGTGCATAAAGCCCGGTCAGGCCAAAAATACTTATCGAGCGGGTTGCTTTCTATTGTGCAATACCGGTCACGTACCCGTTATATCAAGGCATGGTTTGTTAACAACCGTTGCTTACAAGTTGGGATCAAATAATCCCGCCACGTATGCTTTGGAGGGCGCGGTAGCGGTAGCTGGTCATGCTTTGGAGTGGTTAGAGCACCAAGTTCGCATTTTGCCCAGACTTGAAGACGCTGAAAAATATGCTGCAGCTGTACCTACAACCGGAGATGTATACTTTGTGCCCGCTTTTACAGGTTTGTATGCGCCATATTGGCGAAAAGATGCTCGGGGCCTAATAGTCGGCCTTACTCAGTTTTCTACTAAACATCACATTATAAGAGCCGCTTTAGAAGCAATATGTTTCCAAACACGTGATATATTAGAGATCATGTATAAGGAAACAGAGCAAGAAATTGATAAATTACATGCCGATGGTCAGCTATCCAAAAACAATCTGTTAATGCAGTTACAAGCGGATACTGTTGGCATTCCAGTATTTCGTTCCCAACTGTTCGATTGTGCACCTTTTGGTGTTGCCATGTGTGCTGCACAGGCGCACGGTATAGATCTTTGTCGCTTCGATCCAGATAAAAAGGAGTATTTTAACGTCTTTTATGATCAATTCATGCCAGCAAGTACAGATGAGGAGCGAAAACATCGATACGGCAAATGGAAAAGGGCTGTACAACGCAGTTTTGATTGGGCCGTTCCCACAAAGCTGAATGTTGGCCCTGATATAAGCCGCCCCACTAAGATATATGTTATGCCGCTTAGTTTATTCTTCTTGATCTCTTTTGCCATGATTATTCATTCATGGAAATAGCATATAATCTCAGTTAATTGAAAAAAAGAAGAAAAAAAAACCAAAAAGACGTAATTATATTAGGTGGTTGCATGTATTTTGATAGTATTTTCACTTGAAAAAGGCATTTATTGAGAAAAATTGGCACAATACATATATATTAAACAAAATATTTCATATAATTTTGTATAACTTTTTCCAACCTTTCTGGCAACATGTCGATACCTTGTCGAAAGAACGATATTGATATGGGAGCGATCGGGTCGTGGACGTATTTTCGCACTTCTCCAATTTTTTGGAACCGCATGTCAGCCAAACCATGCTGCATCAACAAGTGGTAACCAAAAGCTGCCATGTCTGATAAATACGCCGGGTGTGGCAATACCTCCCATTCGAACTGCAACAGTGTGTCCTAGACAATTCTTGCAACGTCTAGCCGAGTTTTGTCATGCAAGAGGATGACTTTGTGTCTTTTATCCGCTATTGCTGATATTTTTTCCAACAATACCTTGTTCAATTGGGTCAACTTGTGTCGGTAGACATTAGCAGCTCGTAATTCACTACACCTTGCTGATCTCACCATATGCACAGCAAAACCTTATCTCCATGGATTCTGCTTCGGTGTCAATGTGGGTGGCTACCCTGGGCTAATGCAAGACTTTTTGCGCTTAGATATCTCGTAGTACAGCCATTTCTTATCGCCAGTCATAATAGGCCACAGAAAAGTTTTCTTCTTTTCCCTGGAAAGCAATGAAACCGCGATGTTGAAACGTTTCGAAATGGCATTTTCAATTCGTATAGTAGTTGCTCTTTTTGGATATTTACCGTTGTATGAAAACATCTAGAAACTGTTGACTTTTTAACTGCTAAACTGTCCGAAAGTTCTTTGAGGGATTGAGCTGGGGTTTCGTCCAATAAGTTTTGTAATTCGTTGTCTTCGAAGTTTTTCGGCCGTTCTTTGTCATTGACATCAAAATCATTACTTTTAAACCATTAAAAACAAAAACAACAATTGAGATATGGCGGAGCAGCATCACCATAAGCTTCGAAATATTTATGGTGGATTTTGGCGGCAGACTTCTACAAATTATACAACAACAGCAATGAAGGTCGAAAATACCATTTTGAGTGCTCCATGATTAGCGTGATCGTACGCTGACTTAATTAATACTACTAAATTAAAAACTATTATTTCCGGTGGAAAAAGATGAAAATCACCGAATTTAGTCGTTATGTACACTGCCATATCGCATTTTTTTATAACTTTCAGCTGTAGAATTCGCCTATCAAAATATATGCAATCACCTAATATTTAAACACTTTACACTTCAGATTTGCTTTAACTGAAGTTTCGCGTTAGCTAAGTAAGTATTTGTCACACTTTAATCATTTGTATATTTAGTGTAGTATATATTTTGCTTTGGTAATATTGATCTAGTCGTATAAACAGGTCTCTTCTCTAGAGTACTCACATTTTTTATATACGTTTATATATAATTTGTTGTACATTATTTAGAATAATTTGATGTTCACTGATGAAATGATAAGCTTTGATAGCAAGGGTTATGGTATATGGTCAATTAAAACAAAGTAACTTGGTTTTTGGTTTACACTTTAAATTTATCTTTTCTTTTAATTTTCTATCCTAATATTGTTTCTAAAATTTTATTACACATATAAGAAGAATCCGTACGCTTTTGTTCTTCCTTTGCTTTTGGTAAAACTTTGAGTTGGCTCTTTTTAAAAGAAGTAAGCAAGTAGCATGAATTATTACATTTTCTCCATATATTTTCACCTATTAGGCAGAGGTGCATTCTTGAAAGCAATCAACAGAATTTGGACACGTTTATAGTGGCCAAAATTGCCGATTTTGTCTATTTTTATTCTGTTTAGTGTAATATGTTCGAAAAGAAGATATTTTAGAGTTTCAACCTCATCCCTGTGCATCTGTTCCAGTAGATTCCATTACGACTATCACTAGCAATTGATCTGAAAAAGCTTCTTTTTTTCTACTTTTGATACATGAACGAATATGTTATGTTTTTAAATATTGATAAAGCATCGGCGATTTAGTAAAGTATTTAAGCAATATTATGCAGGAGCACGAATAGCGAGGCCGACATACCCATGTCTGCCTGCCTGTTTGCTAGTTGTCTATGAAAATTGCGATTACAACGCGAAGCAAGTCATTCAATTATTTTACCATCGTTCTCTTCGAGAAACATTTGATAATTAGTAACGTCAGCTCGTGGTCGATGACCAGAAAATTCATAGAGGGCTTTTTTTCGAAATTATCGACTCAAATTTATGGAACTTTATCTTTGTTCCTAATAAGATCGGTAACAAGTTGTAAACACAGCTAAATCGCAGCAGCAGCTAATGTATAATTATAATTCCGGTACTAATTTTGAACTTGAAATTTCATTGAAGAGCTTTCAAAGCATTAAATTAAATGAGATATAAAACGTATGTTTTTCAAAAACAAAAAATAGAAGCTTGAGTCCATCGTTTCCTGCGATTTTCAACGGGTAAAATTTTTAATATCTAATTATATATATAAAAATGCCTTTCATCCGGAAATCCACCTTAATTACCTTAAATTACATCTAAAATTATAACAATTAAGAAAATTATATTCGGCCCTCACCGAATCTTTTACACCCATCATCGTTATCCGAAAAAAGACAAAAAAAATTAAAGGATCAAATTTATAAATTTATTTATAATATGGCATGGGCGCGGGTGATTTTTTCCATTTTCAAAGTAAAACTTTGTGTCATATTGTTGTAGGCGCTTCCTTTACAAAGTTTAGTTCACTTCCAAATTCTTTTGCAAATTTTTAGGCGATACATTCATTTACGCTAACGGGAGTACGTTCACCACAAATACTAGACAGCTGCGCAGAGGGACAGATGGACAATGGACATACTCCATACTGCACTCCAAATTTGAAACTTGCTACGAAAGCCCACAAAGTATATACATTCTTAGTCTTTTTTAAATTCGGAATGCACCTAAGCATGTCCGTGCGTTTTAACTGTCCGTCTGTTTGTCTATGTGACAAAACCTGTAAACATCTTTGTTTTTCATGTCTTTTGCATGTTTGTCTTAAAGTCTAACATGCACACCTTATAAATTTGCATTTTTATTCTATAAATTAGAAAAAATAAATTGCTAACATAAGAAGGTTCGGTCATTAGGAATTAAAGCATCTATTACGTCTTCTAGAACGGATTATGGGTGAATTTAAATGCCACATTTGGAAATGAAAAGGCGCATAAATAGGAATCAATAAGATGTAAGTATATCTTTTTGTGTTTGGCAAGCAATTGCGCTTTTGACAAGTCGATGCCTTAGATAAAAAACCACCTCATATGTATTAAAGCAACGAGCTATTCATACGTAAAATTTTTTAAACCTCCTTTGAAAGAAATGAAATCATATGAGATTGAACCAATTAATTTGGGAGGGTTAGGACCCCCTTTCATACTTGTTCGCACTATAAACGATAGTGTATGACGTTTTCCTACTGCCGAAAATGATCCATTTGCTAATATAAACGGACCGTTTTAGAATATTTGTAAGATGATGCGTAAATCGCGTCATGAAACAATAATAAATAAATAATTTTGCAAAATTGTTGCTTAAGCAATTAACAGATTTTCACTTAATTCTACAATCATATATGTCTATCTATTCATTAAATTTTTGTCACCCTTCCATATTCAATGATTTCTAAGTAAAGTAAAAAAGATGGGATTAGACCCACAGGCGTTGTTTCTTCGTAGCTCTATGGGAGTAGGGACTATGGCGCTTGCATGGATTCTTTGTACATTCGTTATTAAACGTTTAATTAAAACAACACAACTCATATATACATAAAATATAAAATATAATTTTCCTTGTATTTAAATTTTGAACGATATACTCCGTGACTTGGCAACTCCTTTTATTTTCTTAACGTTTATAATGAAATATGCTTGTATATTGCATTGTAGTCTACTAAAATTGTATGAATAAAAAAAGTCACTAATTACTTGTGTATAAATTTATGCACATTATTATACCCATCACCGAAGCATGAGGAGCATATCCGTTTTTATTATATTTAATTCGTACTTTCTTTGCTTATGTTGGATAATATGAAAGGCTTGTTCTGTTTCTGGTTTGTCTGCTAATCACGAAGCAGCTGTTTAAACATCTGCTTAGCAATTCGAATAATGTTCTACGTGAAATATAGGGATATGTTGAAATAAATCGTTTAAAAATGTAAAAATTCTATAATTACTGAAAGATAATTAAAAATCAGGAATTGCAATGTATATAAAAATGTATATAAAACTAAAAAACATTATGGTGTCTTTCAAAAGGCTCGACATCAATTTAAAACCATTACAAGGAATTTTTTATGAGGCTTTGCATTCATAACGTTAGAGCCTATGAGCATAAGTATATGCTTACGGTGATTTGCTGGGTAAACGAAGAAAAGTGGGCTCGTCTAACTTTACTAGTATATCGAACAAAAAAACATCTAAAACAGAGAGTGTGAATATGTGTGCTCCAATAAGTGAATATATAAACAAAAACTGCTGCTAACATTAGAAAGGTAAGTTTTTTTATAGTACAGCAAATTTTTACCATGATAGCTTTCGATATTTGAATAAGTTTATTTATTTTCTAAATAATCTCAATTCCCACATGTGTGTGTTTTTGCAAACTAAAACATTCCTCTTGTCTTATATGCAGATTAGTGAAAGTCACCTTCGTTAAAGTGATTACATGTTTCTAGAAAAATTTTGTGTTATTTTCTTATTAAAAAAAGCTTTTGCGTGTAATAACTATGCAAATTCAAAAAAAATTTATCATAGCTTTGCATAATGACTGGTGAAATTTTTTAAATGAAAAATCACAAAAGTAGTCCGTAATAATTGTAAAAAAACATTTTCAAAGTGAGTCATTAGTCTAGAGATGTGAAAAATGACATGGAAATCTTAAAGATAAGTTTCACTATTATTTGTATACCAATATTTATAGTAATTTAGAAAGAGAAAATTGGGTACATAGTTCAAGATTTATTTTCTACAAATTTTGTCTTTGTTTGGTGTGAT